GGAAGATTGTTGATGAGAACAACCCGTTGTCTTTCAAACCATGTCTGTGCCTATTGGCCAACGCTCTGACCAATGAGAGCAACTGACTTTGACGTAGTAAGCGCGACAGAAAGATGGTGGGGCAGTGTAAACAAACAGCCTGTCGGTATAACGGCGAATACGTCCTTCTTAAAAATGAATGAGCGTAGAGCCTCTTCCTGCTCACGTTTCAACAAAAATCCCAAGTCTAATCCTTCCAAAGCTCAGTCGAACGAGAACTGTTCAATAGTTGTTGCCATCTTTCTTGTTGCGCTTTCTCCAGCGTCGTGCAGCTTTGTTGTCCCGTCCTCAAAACTCCGCCCACTTTGCATCCAGAAATTCAAAACACATCTCTGCATTGTGATTGGCCCGCCAGTTCTTGGGCCTGGGGCATTGATGGAGGCCAGAACACAGGTAGTCAAAAATGATTTTGGCTGCTGAGGCTAGTGTAAAAGGCAATTTGAAAAGAAAGCGATTTGTAAAATTCTATCTGAAAAACAGACGGAAGAAAAAAAAAATACAGTATGTAAAGTATGATTTAAAAAAACATTTTCCAAAATTTTATTTCTGGTTTGCATTATTTAATTTCTCAATTAAAAAAAAAAGGTGTTCAATGCTTGAAACAATAATGGAAAAAGATCTCCATAGATGGCATAATCTAGTCTAAAATGTGTTTTATATAAAATATATGCATGTTTATAGATGTACTTTGCCTTTTATTATTTTGAGCTTTTATGAAAGAAAAATTTGTATAATTTAAGTCTAAATTTGGAAAGTTGGAAACAAATAACAAATTTATGCTTAACTACTAGAGTGATGAAGGAATTCAGTCAGTTGGATTTGTATTGATTGTTCTATTACTGAATGTTGCAGGGGAAACCACACAGAAGATGAGATCTGCCTCCCATCCGACGCCTGCAGAGTTGGACGCCTATGCTAAGAAAGTCGCCAACAAACCTCTGACCATCCAGATCTTCCCAAACAGCATCAAAGTTCCTCAGAAGAAGCACGTTCGCCGCACTGTCAACGGGCTCGACACGTCCTCGTCCGGCCAGCGCCACAGTCCCTACCCTCCTCAGGCGGCCTCCAGCGGGGGCCTCCTGGCCGTCCTGCGCGCGCCCCTCAAAGGCCTCATCAAGCACCCGGACGGCTGCCGGACCCGGCAGCAGCTGAAAGCAGTCATGAACCCTCAGACCGGGCCGTATGCCGCTCAAAGCACTTTAAATCTTCCTCATCCTCCTCCTCCTCACCTTGGAGGCCTCCCTCAGAAGCAGGGAGCGGTTCATCCGCAGGCGCTACAGCAGAATATGACTCACCCGATGGCGCTGCAGCACCATCACCCGCAGGCTTTACAGCAAAGGAGCATGGCTCATTCTCAAGCTCTGCAGCAGCAGCATAGCATGTCCCGGCTTCAGGGAGCACAAACGCAAAGGTTGGCTCATCCGCAGGGCGTGCAGCGGCAGCCTCATCCCCAGGAGGGCCAGTCATGCTCCTTAGTCATACCACAGCAGCATCTCCCTCATGTGCAGACTCTAAAGCATCAGGCGGCTCCTCCACAAGCTTTACTGGCACAGCAGGGAGTGACTCAGGACCTGCGCCACGCCTCCGATGGAGCTCAGCTTCAGGGTCTGCAGGAGCTGGTTGGCCCCCAGGCGGTGCCTAACAGCCTCCAGCAGCCCCCGCCGGGACAGTACGCTCCACGGAAGCTCCCGGACGCAGACGCTCCACCAAATGTAACTGTATCTACCTCTACCATCCCGCTGTCCATGGCCGCCAGCCTGCACCAGAACCGGCCCGGAGACCTTAGCAGCATCGTGAACCAGATCAACCAGCTGTGCCAGGCCCGCGCCGGCACGGGCGCCACCTCCGTCTGCGAGGGTCAGATAGCCAACCCCAGCCCCATCAGCCGCAACCAGCTGATCAGCGCCAGCTCCAGGGTGTCCTCCCAGCATGCAGCTGTGGGAGGCGTCTCCAGCTGCCTCATGATGGGCCACCCTGACAAAGCCGCCGCTCAGACTCCCGGCGCTGTGCTCCACGCGCAGCCCAGTGCAAACGCTAATAATATGGCTTCTTTCCACTCGGATGGAGAGAAGGCGCAGCAGCAGCAGCAGCTTCAGCAGCACCTGCTGCAGCAACAGAAGCAGCAGCAGCATTTGCAGCAGCTGCAGCAGCAGCAGCGCTCCTGGGCCCAGCATCAGCTGGCTCACATGCAGCAGCCTCCAGAAGGGGCGCACCCCTGCAAAAACCCCAGGATGGAGCCGCCAGCTGAGTGCGCGTTCCCCTCCCAAAATCTGAGCTACGCCCACAAGCTGCCCAGCTCCGCACAGGGCTTTCCTCTAAAACATCCTACTGATAAACCACTCCCCCCCTCCCCTGCCAGCTGCTCGGTGGGCCCCGTGTCGTACATCAATGGCCATTACATGCAGCCTTCATGGAGCAGCGTCCCCACCACAGCAGGGAACAATGGGAATATTCCTCAGGACCTCCCGGTGGGTTTCCAGGGAGACCGCATCCCGGGAGCCAAATACCGGCCGGGGAAAGACGGCTTGGCCGGCCAGTCCAAGCTGATGCAGCAGAGCATGGATTTCTTAGGCGAGGGCTTCCAGCTGCCCGCCTTGCAGGAGCAGAACCTCGATATGATGCATAAGATGCACAGGTCCGCCTTGGGCCACGTTAAGGAGCCCGGCAACAGCGGGGGTGTCCACAGCCATCACCCAGGCTACCATTAAGCTCCGTTATCATCGCCCTCTGTTGTTGCTGTTGAGTTTTTTTTCTTAACGGCACTTTGAGCTTCTTAAATTCATCGCTGAAGATCTCGATCCTTTAGAGCTTCGTTTGATGGCCCGCCGCTCTGCGACCACGTCCAGCTCCAACCGCCGAGCTTGTGATGTTCCCTAGTATTCCTCAGGTCTTACGCCACGTCGTCGCTTTTGTTTCAAACCCAAAAGCCTCTCTGAGCTCGATCGCCGTCGGCTGCTCTTCGGATTCAGATTAAGGCGGGATTAAGCCTCACGACTGTCTCAGTGCTTCTTAGTTTCCCGACTTTTCTCAGCTATTGTGGCCTTCCGACTGCCCAGAGGTGAGCGTTTGGAAGTCCTGCTGGTAAAGCTGTTACCTGCAGCTCTTCATGCGGAAGGGGGAGGATCCTGTCAGCTTTACGTCTCAGACGGGCGTTCTTAACTATGTCTGGGATCTCTGCGGGTTGGGTTCTGTGGGTGGACATTCTCTGTTCTGTCAGTTTCATATAGCTATTCTCAAATGTTTTTTTTTTTTTTTTGTCGTCGTTGTAAATCTGTAGATCACCCTACTTGAACTGTAGAGATAACTTTGTAAGAGTTTAGCATTTGGCACAAGGAGTAGGAACTCCCATCAGCCCATATTTATCTAAAGTTAATGTGAACCAGAAGGCATCCTGTTGTTGGTGGAATGATGTGTGTCTGCGTGTGAAAAACAAAGCAAAACTGATGACTCCAAGTAATGCAACCAGGAAAAAAAGCTTCTCTTCCCTTCAGCTCCTCTCCTCACTACTTTCCTGCTGTAATGCATCCAGGTTGACGCTGCTCTGAGTCACTGGCATCCATATATTGTTTGTTTGGGGGGGGGTTGGCATAGGGGAGCCTCAACTAAGGCTTTTTAACCAGTTTTCCGATGTTCGTATTTGGCTAACTTCAACTGCTGATATGAAAGAGTTTTTAAAACATGTTCTATTAGTTTAAAAATGAGAGGAGATGTCCGCAGTGTGGAGCAGCAGATGGACGTAAAATAGCCCGACTGATATTTTAAAACAAAATGACAGATTACATTTTTTTTAACCCCATGTTATCCATTAGCAAAGCAAGCAGGAATAAAGCGGCTGCTTCCAGATGTGCATTTAAAGATGTTATGGAGGGAATTCTTTTGCCATTATTGATGCTATTAGGAAACGCATTGAAATTTGGCCACAACAAAACAACGGCAGTCCAGAAAAAAAAGCTTTGAAAAAACTTTAAACTTTGCTGTTTTCTCAGATTTTTTTTCTTTTCAAATGTTATTAAAAAAATAATAATTTTGACATATTTTAAATATTTATTTTGTTTTATATATAATTTTTTTTATACAATTTGCATTCTTTTTCAAATTGTGCTTTTGTAGATAACTCTTTTCTTCACTTCAAGCCCAATAATAAAAATGTTAATACCCAGGCAGAAATGCGTCCATCCTCACCAGATATGTGTTATCTCTGAAATGCAGTTTGAAAAAGGGCCATTTCTGAGACTCGATCTAAAATAATCAAATGTCAAACTAATGAAATAAAGAGTATTTCAAACACAAATTATCTAAAAAAAATCTAAAAAAAACAGCAGTTACTCCTAACAATTTTGCACCTTTCATTGCACTTTTTGCAAATTCAATTTAATAAGCTTTTTTATTTTTTAGCTTTATTTCCACGATTACAAAACATTTTCTTTGCTTTTAACGATAATGGCAGAGAATTCGCTCTATATTCTTTGCATTTCCAGATCTAGCATTTTTTAAATTGCAGACAGGTTGAAAGCTTTGAACGATGAGCGGCTTTGCTGTTCTTTGTTCTGCCTTCCTGTTTTCCTCTCCGACTCTGACTCTCGCTCTCTGACGGTCCCTCGTTTCCTGAATCGTCTGCAGAGATCAGTCACCTGACTCCACAAGCAGTTGATTTTTCGCCTCAACATCATACTTTAAATTGGAGCTCAATACTCTCTAAGATAAGCAGTTCATTGTGTTGAGGATTATGTATTTTTGCCATCCTTCTCATAATATAACTGGATTAAAACAAGTTAGCGATAGCAGTTTAGCTAGTCGGACCGTCTCCTCTGCTGCCGGTCTGCAGTTGGCTGATAAACAGACGTGTCGGCATCATCTCCCTGTTTTGGTTTTAAAGGGCTTCACCTAAATCAGACTGCTGCTTTCTCAGCCAGAACTTTCTCCAAACATCGAGTTCTGCTTTCATGTCCGTTAAAACTAATTTATGCCTCTTTAGGGTCAACCACAGCGCTCCTTCCAGATGTAGACGGCTTTCTTTACTGCCTTGCTGGAAGAAGCTGAATTCTCACCATAATAATAATGGATCCTTGTTGCTCCTGAGATACAAAAATGATCCGGGAACAGAGCAGCCTTGCGGTTTTTCTGCGCCTTTATGGAAGCAGTTTTTTTTTTTGTGAATCCGCTCGAATTCACTAAAAAATCTTGGTTTTCACGCTTATGTCCAAAACAAAGTTAACTTTCTGGGAAAAGTGAAGTAGCTTTCTTTAAGCAAGCTGACTGGCAGTACCAAGCAACAGGTGGGGGAGGGGCGATTCTTCACTCCATTCAGTGAGAGAGACCTGCACTTGTGCAACTAACGGACGAGTTGGATGCAGGGATATTTCATCCTAAAAGCCTTAATTAGAACAGCTTCATTCCAGTCAGACTGTTTTAGCTGAGCTCCGCTTTCTGGGTCGCAGTTCTGCCTTTATTCTGACCGACTTGTACGACTCATTACTGGCCTGGACTCTCTGGTCTGACTAGATCATGTCGCCTTCGGTGAAATCATCCCAGTTAGGAAGCTCAAGCAGACTGATAGATCAGCCATCCCAGATGTTGTGTTTTTGTTTTAGCTTTTAGTAAAAACCAGATAGGTGTACAGAGCTCAGCTGTAGCAGAAGTTTTAAAAAATTATATTTTATTTCAGTTAAGATCCTGAATTGATTTTATTTTTATTTTTGCTGAACAGTTTTGTCCTAAAGCCATACTTGTTTTATCCTCCAGGGGGAGGCACTTGAGACGCGTAAAACTAGAAGGAAATCAGACTGTTAAACTCTGAGGGCTCATAGGAGGTCTCCACCTCAGCTTTGACCGGAGGTCTTTCAGATCTGAAAAGTCAAAGGCATCATTTTTATTTATTTTTTTTTTGTATCGCTCCTTCACCTGTTTAACTCCTGCAAGCACACTAGTTAAAAACAGTTATTCACTAGAATTATTGGAGGTTTTTTTCATGACTTTGATTTATGGTGGTTCTGAGCCCCATGTGGACCACTGAGGGAGTAACTTCCTGCTTTATAAGAGCCATATGATCACATTTCCTGATCAAGAAGACATCAAGCAGGTCATAGAAATTCTCTGCAAATCAAATCAGTAGGAAATCCCCAGATGGGAGGCAGTGAAGGAGCCAAACAGCCTGCAGCCGAGGTCGCTTTTGGGTCTTCAAATTTGACGGTACTTAATTTCTGTTCCCCTGGGCTTCATATGTGATGTGCCTGTCCCTGAAAGCTGCTATTGAATTTAATCATCACACTAATCTGATATGTGTGTCTGTAAATAGTAACAGTACATGGGGCGCATCAGAGGAAAAACACTTCCAGCTGAGGGCAACGTTTCCACCAGGCTGTTTATTAAACCAGTTTATTCAACATTATTCTAAAAATAGTTGATCAGAATTAAAATTTTTAGACCCTTTCAAGCCGTTTTTGGATTTTTGAACAGCCAATCAAATGAGTAGAAAACACTAAACTGTCGGACAGAGCCATCTCTGGTTCTGGTGCAACCCATTGAAGTCAGGTTCTACAGTTTCATATGAAGTGCCTCCACTGGGCTTATGGTGGACAAGTGTGAGTGAGTGTGTGTGTGTGTAGAGTGTGCTAACCTGCGCACAGGTGTGCACAAAGTGAATCTCTAATGTGTGTATGTGGGGGAGCGGGAGCTACTAATTCTAACTACTGATACTGTGTGATGGACCGAAGTCCTGAAGCGTGCCACGACACTGTGGGGGACGCTGTGTCTACCGTTTGCTGCTGACTCACTGACCAAAGTGACCAGGTGTCCCTCTGAGCCGGCCGGCCACGCCTAGCGGCTAGCGCCTGCTAACAACAATCAGAAACAATCTGGTGACGTTAGGGAGAGCTGCTGCCTTTGTTCTGTTGCTTTAGGAGAATCTTGTGAAGAAAAAAAAAAAAGATGTGAAGAGAGCAAACGAGAATCTAGAGAGAACGTTTGGTTTTGGTGGTTTTTAACCAGAGCAGTGGTGGTTCTTGGTGAATACCCAGGGCTATATTTTAAGGGGTTGTGCACAAGTGTCACATTGTTGAGGTGTTTTATTCTGCTCGAATCAATTCTGGATGATTTCCTTCATTAATTGGTTGAGGTGGAAACATTTATGGGGGACTTGCCCAGGGGGATATCCATGCAAGAACCGCCACTGGACCACGGCTTTGTGATTCATGGTTCCACTTCAAATCCAGAAGAAGCTCAGTATACGTCTGTTTGCACTGTAAGAATCATCTACTGAAGCACATTAAAGTGAACTGGGCTGAAGCAGCGCAGCAGTCACTCTAGATTTCCCATTGCTTTTATCCAGTTTAGATTAGAAGAAGCAACCGTGCTCTGGCCGCAGCTGGAGGGGGCTTTCTTGCTGTGTGAAAATGTGATATTCCAGTTTTGCCTAACCTTCAGGAATTCAGACGTCTTGCACAAACATTCCCCCTAACCAAAATAAAGTTTGCAAACACACAGCTGTTTTTGTCTTGTCTTTATTGAGAGGATTTGCACATTTTTATTTCAGTAAGCATAATAAAAAGTGTCCCCTAAATAAGGTGATTTCCATTCTTTGTCAAATAGTTTGAAAAGTTAGCAGATGGCATCAGGATACAGTGGAAAGGAAAACTCCCATTTAAACGTAAGCAACTGCAGATTGAACCATGCTCGTCGAGAACGACCAACCTGATGTTTGAAGCACTGATCCAGGAATACTTTGAGTGGAAAGTCAAATGCTAGTTGTAGCAGTAGGTCCTGTTGTGGCTCATATAGTTGAAAACAGCTAAAAATGTGACGTCTGAGCCAAAACTCAATCTAGATAGAGGGCTTACAGTCAGATGTTTCTGGTGTAAATAGTAACAACATAAAGATAGAACCTGGAAACTTATTTCTAAACCAACTTTCAAAGAAAGCTTTAATAAGATCTATCAAAACAAGCTCTCAAACATATCACAGAACCAATTACAATACAACTCTGTAGATCTGCTGTCACGCAAATCATGAAGATATCCTACAGACGGATAAAGGACATTAAATGCAAGCTAATCCTTGCTTTCTGCATTGGATCTCATACACAATAAGGACAATGTAGAATTTTTTAACAGATGAAGACAGTTATGAAAATATGCTCTGACTAGTAATGTATCCTTTCTGACCGATTCAGGATGCACACATCACTTACTTTCATAAGAATAAATCACTCAATTCGTTTAGGAATATTCCCTTGATGCCCTTTGTTGCAAATATGCAACAAATTCTCTGTATTTTGTACACAGTCAAGATAGCATGTGCTTTCTCTCAGTGCTAGCTATTAAACATTCAGTGCAGACCTAGGAACCGTTACAACTTGTTCCTAACAGGGACTGTTATCATTGTCATACACCCACATTTCTAGCTATTATAAAAATATAGAAAGATATTTCAATTTGGCAATAGAGACAAAAACTTTTCTATATTTATACATGTATATAAATTTGGGCTTCAAGGGGATATTATTAAGAATTTAGAATGCTTATTTGGAAGTAGAATGCTTCCAAATAAGTAGGAATCTATTATCAGGGGTTTTAGAAATGACATGGGCCAATTTGACCCAGATCTAATCTTTCAGATCTAACATTCTTGAGAAAATAGCTAATTGATAAATGTGTGACAACTTACGCCTAAATAAACTTTTTGAAGAGTGTCAATCAGGTTATAGTGCTCATCATATCACTGAAACGGCTTTGGCGAAAACTACTAATTCTCATGGCATCAAATAATGGGCTTTATGTGTACTTGTCCAGTTAGATCTCAGTGCTGCATTTTATAACAGTTGATCATAACATTCTTTTAGAAAGAATTGAATATTTTGTAGGAATTAAGGGAACAGCAC